GTAAATTTATGTGTGTTTTCTGATTACAAAACACATGTGTGGGGGGGTAGAGGGTGGGAAGGGATAGAATGGGATTTCAAAATTGTAGAATAGATAAACAAGATTACACTGTATAGCACAGGGAAATATACACAAAATGTTATGATAAATCACAGAGAAAAAAATGTGAAAAAAAATGTGTGTTTATTTTTTATAGATAAAGCACACAAAAAAAATGAAATCCCTGATAAATCTACCACCCATAGATAATCTCTGTTAACTTTCTGGTATATTTCCTTCTAATCTTTTTGCTATGTGTCTATATTTATGTATCTTTTCTTTCTTCTTTCGTATTGGAAATCACAACCTAGTATACTTTTTACATATTTTATACCTAGATACCTTTTTTTAATTAAAGTATAGTTGACTTAAAATGCTGTGTTAGTTTCTGGAACACAGCACAGTGATTCAGCTACATGTATGTACATTCTCCTTCATATTCTTTTTCACTAGAGGTCACCACAGGTATTGAATATAGTTCCCTGTGCTACATAGCAGGACCTTGCTATTTATCTATTTTACCTAGATACATTTTATCTTTCTATTTTCCCCTTAATATTGTGAACATTCAAGTTGAACTATATGCAAAAGGTGGTACGGAGTTGCTACACACCATTTCCTTCTATAGACTAGACTGTGTATATATTGCTCTGCTCAGTCACTGTAACTTTGTGACTGTTTCTCTCCTAGTGATTATGCTGTTACAGCTTTTGAGAGGATAGTTTGCATATTGGTTTCTAGAATAACAGGCCCTTTTCCTCCTTTGAATGCTTGTCTCTTGGGAATGAGGATTTCAGCTGCTGGTGCCTGCTTAGGTTCTATCCTAAGCCCCTGATGCTGTCCTGGTTTTTCCAGGCCCTGTGTGGTCAAGTGTGTTTCTCAGAAAAGCCTTTCTATATGTTCCAGTGGTCCCCCAGCGAGCAGATCACAAGGTGGTGGACACCATTGACCAGCTGGTCACACGAGTCGTTGGAGGCAGCCTGTCTCCCAAAGAGAGAGCTCTTCTTAAGGAGGACCCTGCTTACTGGTATTTATTTATTTGTTTGTTTGTTTATTATTTTTTTGAGAATAAATTTGTACGTTTATGTAGGTTGTATAAACAGTAACATCCCCAAGTGTATCGATTTCTTCTGATGTGTAACTTAGACTCCTGGTTTGGTACAGCCCTTCAGACATCCATTGAAAAGACAGTTTTTCCTTGTACGTTAAATACTGGGTCTCTCCATATCGTTTTATACCTCCATTCCTCACTGATTGATACAGTTTTTCAGTTGACACTGTTCCTTTTTCCCAAGGGATTCCTGAGCACTTCTGATAGTTGATGTTGCTCTTCTCAATCCCTCCCATAAAGTGCACAGCAATGTTTTGTGTTGCTGTGATGATGTCTAGAGCTGAGGGTGAGAATGTTTATTTTGAGTGGTGGTGTCAGTCAGTGGGGAGTGCATGAGGATGGGTCAGATTCACGTGGGTTCAACCTCCAGCCCTGCTGCTGACTTGCCCTGTGGCTTCTTGTGCGGGTGTGGAGCTCCTTGTCCCTGCTGTGCTGGTTTGAGGATGACATGAGAGGTGCATGCAAAGAGCAAGTGTAAGATGAGGAATATGTCACAGCGGTTGTGATTTCTTGCTACTGTTGGCTAAACTGTCTTTTCCTTTTGCCTTATTGTCTCTTCATCTGAACAGAACAACTTTTTAAAATTAAAGTTTTCACCATAAATATAGTACTTGCTTATTAGAGAAAGTAAAGAAGAACAGAAAGTTGGGGGAAGCCACCCATGTGCCTAGTAATGTCCGTTGACATTTTGGGGTGTTTGTTTCTAGTCATTCTGCTCATTAGGGACTGTTTGGTTTTTAACATAGTTGTGTTACATGTGTAACATAGCTGTGATACAATATACCCTGCTTCTTTTAGATAATAGGAAAATGCTCATATTCTCTATTCTTTGTAAACATTTCAGGTGGCTGCATTTACTGATCCATAGAATTGGTGATCAGTTTATTTAGCCATTCCTCTCTTGTTGGTCTTTGGGAATGTTTTTGATTGTACACTATTTAAAATATTTTTTCTTAGAATAGCTTAATGTGTCACACTTTCATGTGTGTTTAGGATTATCTCTAGATTAGATTGATGGAAGTGGAAAAGTTTTATGCTTTGTTAGCTTAAAAAAAAGATCAAAGGGGCATATGCCATTTGTAAAAATAGAGAATAGTAAAAAGGCAAAGATGGAGTTACTCAGAACTCTCCCATTTTTTTCCCTACAGTGTGTGCTCAGTTGTTGTGTCCTATTTTAAACTTAGTATAATTGTCCTTATTATCGCCGAGTGTGTACTATTCCTTCATACACGGTACCCTACACTTAACCACTGCTGATTGGTGGATTTTTACATTCTAATAACATGATGAACAAAGTTTTGCTTTTATTTCTGTCAGTTTATTACAGTAATATCTGGGAATGAAATTGTTGGTTTAAAAGCAAAGCTCGCTTTAGAGGCATTTGATCTGTCTGTTTCTCAGCTGCAGCTTTATTGACATTTGAGGCTGGATAATTCTCTGTGGTGGGAACTGTCGTGGGCATCCTTGGCTTCCACCCACTGGATGCCAGTAGAACCCTCCATCCTAGCTGTGACAGTCAAAAATACCTTCAGACATTGCCCAGTGTCCCCTGGGGGACTGAGTTGCTCCTGGTGGAGACCACTGGTCTTTATCATCAGGTTCCTTTCCATGCGTTATTTGTCCCAGTTGACACTCTCACTGCCGCTCCATACATGTTCCGTGCCCTCACAGGAGTGTTTTGACTTAAAAATAGTTTCATAGTGTGATGTTTTACCTTATGTTCTTTTGTTAATTAAAGAGACTATGTGTTTACTCATAGAACTTGTAGTTGTAGTTCCTCTTTTTGAGTGGTCTGTTCAGGTCTGATGTAGTCAACATTGTACCCATACCAAATATTCTTGCTGTTATAATTACTAAAGGTGCTTGAAAGGTATAAATTTCTGTGTAATGGTACCAGGGCTTTGGTCCTAACCAGCATGATTTACCAGGAGAAGAGTTGGAACTTGTTATGGTTTTATTTTTGCAGAATTCTGGAATTCATCTAGATTATGTTCATGTATTGAATAAGATAAGCATGTAACTTAGAAATTTTTTTAAAAAAAAAACACCAATAACCTAATTGCTCCAGTATCATTTACTGAATACTTTTTTTTGTCTTTGTATATGTATTTTTTTATTGAAGTATAGGCAGTTTACAATGTTGTGTCAGTTTCTGGTGTACAGCATAATGCTTCAGTCATACATGAACATATGTGTATTCATTTTTATTGAATACTTTTATTTAGCAAACACTTTTGTTTTCTGTGCCTGTAGTACCATTTTAAGCAGTTTACTGATTGAAGCTGTCTGAACCCTCATAAACAACCTTTTGGGGTAGATATGTTGTCATCCTTATTTTACAGACAAAACTTGCTCAAAAGAGGTCTCTTGCCTCAAGGATGCACAGCTAATAAAGGACAGAGCTGAGATTCACATTCAGGCTCTGTGGGCTTAACCAGTGCTCATGCTGAAGAAAGGAAGCTAGATAGCCTCAGATTGACAGATGAAAGCAGAAACCAAATCCTCTGGGTATGATGTCATCTAGACTTGGAAGACCCAGGGGCAATTTCCAGGTGATTGCTGAGATGATTGGGCTAAAGGGGAAGCAGATCCTGAGAGGACTGGGGGCATGTGCCTCTGCCCCATGACCACTGCACACTAGCCAGCAGGCTTATGATCACTGACAGCCAGGGGTGGCAAACAGAACCATAGCCAGAGTCAGGTGTGTGTGTGTGGTGGTGGTGGTGGTGGTGGTGGGAGGGGTGTACAAATCAGAATAAGCATTGAGCTAAAAACCAAGTATTTGAGGAAAATCAGCATTATGAAGGAGGATCATCAAACTCAATAGAGCTGACACCTAAGAAGACAGAGTTACTATAAGAAAAAGAAGATTGTCTAAAAATGCATATATGTAACTAATAGTTTTAAATGGAAAATAATATATTGTATCCATGAAACAGGAACTGCTTGTTATGGAAAAGAACCAATTAAGGATCTTGAAATGAAAAATCTCATTTTTAAAAAATTTTATTTGTTAATATTTTATTTATTTATTGTTTTATTTAATTATTTTATTTTGGTGGGGGGTGGTAATTAAGCTTATTTATTTTTTTTCGAGGAGGTACTGGGGATTGAACCCAGGACCTCATGTATGCTAAGCATGCACTATACCACTTGAGTTATACCCTCCCTGCCAAAAAAAAAATCTCATTGTTGAATTAAAAATCTCAGTTGTTAGCTAGTAGAATAGACCTGGTTGAAGAATAAATTAGGGGGCTAAACTTTGAGCATTGATCACTTGTGAACTCCTTCAGGAGATATTACCCCGAGACCATAAGGAGAAAGAATGTGATCCAAAAAAAACCAATGTTAAGAAACTAGTAAACTTAGGTTTTTGGTGTGTATGTTTGAACTCTTAAGTCAAAGTAGTACTTGTTTGTGATTCCCCCCCCGCCAAATCAGTTAAACTAATCACAAAGGCAAATACTTATACCATAATCCATTCCCATACCAATTCCACTCCTTGGAGGCAGTCACTGTTAATTCCTTAAGCTGCTTTTAATAGTTACCTCTGTATCTCTAGAAATGATAAGCCTGTTACCTTTTCTTGATCTATCAGGTTTTTTTTTAAATGTATAGTCTGAGTTTTTTTTTGTTGATTGAAGTATAGTTGATTTACAGTGTTGTGTTAATTTCTCATGTAGTGATTCAGTTATACAAATATATACATGTGTATATTCTTTTTCATTATGGGTTATTTTAAGATACTGAATTTAGTTCTCTGTTATACATTAAGACCTTGTTGTTTATCTGTTTTATATATAGTAGTTTGTATCTGCCAGTCCCAGACTCCTAGTTTATACCTACCCCTCCTCCTTGGTAACCTTATGTTTATTTTCTATGTCTGTGAGTTTCTTTCTGTTTCATAAATAAGTTCATTTGCATCATTTTTTAAGATTCCACGTGTAAATGATAACATATGATATTTGTCTTTCTCTGACTTACTTCACTTAGTATGATAATCTCTAGGTCCATCCATGTTGCTCCAGATGGCAGTTTCATTCTTTTTTATGGCTGATTAATATTCCATTACACTTGTGTGCACATGTGTGTGTAAACACACAGTCATCTGTCAGTAGACGTTTAGGTTGCTGATCTACCAGTTTTATGCATTAGTGTTGACACCCTATGAAGATAGATGGGGATTTAGCTTACTTTCCTCCCCAGTGTTTGAGGAATTCTGTCATCTGATCAGGAGATTCCCAACTCGAAAATAGGTTTTTTTTTTTTTTTAATAATAGTTTCTTTTTATTAGTTAGGACAGACCTCAGGAAGCAGATGTAAGAAGGGTTTCTATTATTTCCACCCTCCAAGGTCCAGCAGGAATTTGTGACTCCCTCTCCCCACGAGGAGGGGCGAACTTAGGTTTGTTCACAGCCTCACAGCCAAGCCTTGCGAGCAGAACTGACTGCTGCCTCTTGCCGAAGAGGCCTGCCTCTCTGGTGCACTAGCATGTCCATAGTACAGACAGATACCACACAAACTTTGCTTCCTCATCTGGAGCACCAAGAAGTAGACATCCTCTGCTTTCTATGAGAGACATTGTGGAGCAACAAGCCTCTAGAATGGTCCCAACAGTGCAAGAGTAGAGCTGAAGGAACATGTTATGCTTCGTTTTCTCGCATCTTCTAGATTGTCCCTGGGATTGGAATGACCCTTACCTTTCCTGGACTATGCACTCCAGAGACAGCCCACTAGGTCCACGTGTTTATAGACTCAGAAAGAAATAGGTGGCCAAGAATCTTGTTTAGCCTCAGCAAGGTTGTCCAAGGGCCCCAAAGGGAACACAAAAATCTAAATAATTGATGCTTGGGGGAAAAAACCCTAAAATCCCACATTATCTAAATATTAAATATGCAAGGGGAAGAAGGGAAGTGGATGCTAGGGCTCTTGGCTTGTTTAGAATAAGGATACAGCTGGTGAGTAACTCTGGACAGTAACAGAAAATAAGAGCTTAAATGTTTATTCCCATTAAAGGCATAGAAATGGGATTTAGAACTTCCCTACTAGTATAAAAGGGTGAGGAAAGCAAAAGGTACTCAGTCTAATGAAAAGCCAAAAAAGAAAAAAAAAAAAGAAGAGAAAAGAGAAGCAGATAGGAAACAAGAGTTTAAATTTATTCAGCCTTACTAGGAATACACAAGTTTCTGCCGGTTGATGCTGCCTTTATTAGCCAGAGACTCAAGTTTGAAAGCAGCAGCTGTTGGAGAGGGTGTGGGGAAAGGGAACCCTCTTACACTGTTGGTGGGAATGTAGTTTGGTGGAGCCACTATGGAAAACAGTATGGGCATTCCTTAAAAAATTGAAAATAGATGTACCCTATGATCCAGCAGTACCATTCCTGGGCATATATCCAGAGGAAACTCTAATTCAAAAAGATACGTGCACCCCACTGTTCATAGCATCACTATGTACAAAAGCCAAAACATGGAAACAACTTAAAAGTCTATTGACAGATAAAGAAGTTATGATATGTTTATACAATGGACTCCTACTCAGCCCTTAAAAAGAATAAAATAATGCCATTTACAACAACATGAATAGACCTAGAGATTATTACACTAAGTGAAGTAAGCCAGAAAGAGAAACAAAAATACCATGTGGTATCACTTATATGTGGACTCTAAAAAAAGGACATAAATGAACTTATTTACAAAACAGAGACAGACTCACAGTCATAGAAAACAAACTTATGGTTACTGGGGGAAAAGGGGATGGGGGGATAAATTGAGAGTTTGGGATTTGCAGATACTAACTACTATATACGAAACAGATAACAAGATTCTACTATACAGCATAGGGAACTATATTCAATGCCTTGTAATAGCTATAATGAAAAAAATACGAAAAGGAATATATATATGTATCTGTAACTGAATCACTATGCAGTACACCAGAAATAAACACAACATTGTAGATCAATCAATCAATAAGAGCAGCAGCTCTTAGTTCCTCATCAGAGTCACTTAAAACACAGGGAGTGAAACATAAAGATGGAAGACAATATACCAAGCAAATGCTATTGAAGAGAAAGGAGATATGGAAATGTTACTTCAGACAAAACAGAAAAACATTCAAAGGGGCAAAAAGAGGTTACTGACAAGGGAAAGTCATCATGAGCTACAGTGGTTGGGAATCTCACTGCTGGAACCACACGTGGCTATGAGCTATGTAAACATTTGGAAGTATAAGAGGAACTGGAAATCCTTACTGTGGTAGGAGACTTGAATGTACTTTCCCTGAAATGGGTAGATGTCATCCAAATAAAAGTGTGGAAAATTTAGAATACAGAGAATGATCATAAATGAATAGAGATGATGTACTAATCATTGTTGAACAGGCAGTATTCAAAGCATTTTCCTTAAAATGAAAAGTATATAACTCAAGCCTCACAAGTAGGTTATTATTATTATCTGTCCCTTACAGGTGAAGAAACTGAGGCATAGAAAAATTCATAAATCTCACAGCTAGTAAGTGGCTACACTGGGATTTGAACCTGGCAGACTAGCTTGGGAGTATTCTGTGCTCTTGATGTGCTCCATTAGAACTGGGGGAGATGGATTTGTGACTCATGTTCTCAGACTGCACTTGGCATCAGAACCATCCAGGGGAAAGGGACTTACATTGTGGGATCCAGGTCACCTGGGCACTGACTGTGCTTTCTGCCCTGGATGAGGAGTGGCCTTGCTGCAGCTGCGTTTGACTTGAGAACCATGTGTTGATCAGCTTTCCCTTATGTGGGAACCCTTGCTTGTTAGGGTTCAATCTTGCAGGATGCTGCTGTTGGCCAACAGAGTGTCCAGGGCAGTGGAGGAGCCAGCACACAGCCTGTTTCCTCACATCCAGCCAGACCTTAATTGTGCAGAGAGCATCAACAGGAGCTTCATATGGAGCTGCTCACCAGGGACATGCTGCATCACATGGTGCTGCCAGCATCCTGCTGTGCACTGCCACCTCGCTTCCAATCAGCTTCTGTTATTGGTAATTGGGAACCTCATCTAATGTGATCTCAACATCACAAAAAGCCACATGAAGTATTGCTGTATTCACCAAACAATACTCATTCTTTAACACAGACTGAAAATGAACATTCACAAAAAACTTGTTATGAATGAGGACATGAAGAGAGTTACATACAGCACATCCCAGGAAAGGAATTACGTGGGCCACTTTATGCAATGCATAAAAGTTGCAACCAGCAACAGCCAAAATAAAACAGGCTTGTAAATAACTTTTGAATGAAAGAGAATTAGAATTGAAATTAAAAGCTCTTCAGAAGGAAGTAGCAGGGAGAGCACTGCATATGGAATGTAGCCGCAACAACAGCTGGGGGAAAAGTGCAACCTTGGGTGTGTTTATCAGAAATAGACCGAAGATAAGCATTCAACAACTCATGAAGCTAGAAAGAAATGGTGAAAAAAGGCCAGAGACTAGAAGGGAAGAGTTAATAGAGATGAAAGAAGGTGCTAATGAAATGGTCAGCAAAGTAAATAAAGTGAAAGTCCCTCTCCATGCTCCTTTCTAACCCATTCCTCAGAGCTAATTCTTAAGTTTGCTTTGTATTCTTTCAGCCTATGTGAAAAAGGCAAATATATGTGTATGTACACAGTGCAGCTTCACATGGTCTGTATCGATGTTGATATTCTTCTATAGCTTGCTCTCCATGCTGTGGATCTCTTTCTGTCAGTACTTGTAACTCAAACTCCTTTTTTCTATACTGTTCTCATTGTGACTCTGACATGTGATTTCACAGCAGTGCCACACTGGCCTCAATTCAGTTAAAAGATCACTGAGTGTCCACCATCTGAAGGGCATCACCTCCCAGAAACAGTGTCCAAGAACAATGCTTGCCACTCCCTAGTAGGACAGTGCTTCCATGGTTCCAGGGTGACTGGTTCGTGAGGCCACCAGGAGCTACAAGCTCCTTCATGGCTGCTGATGACAGGAATTGAGGAGGAATCGACCAGTGCTCCATCATATCTCCTGGTTCCCCTGTAGTCACTCTGAGCAGGATGGATGGCCAGGGCCCAGCTCTGGGTACATGTTGGAGCCAGGCAGGGACTCTCCAAAAGCAGGGAGGTCGCCAAGTACAAAAGGTTTACGGAAATGTATTTACAGCAACAATTTGGTCATGCTGGTGTATTCACAAATGTCCTGCTGTGCGTGTTTTGTTATATAGGTTTTTGTCTGATGATAATAGTCTGGAGTATAAATATTACAAGCTGAAGCTGGCAGAAATGCAGCGGATGAGCCAGACTTTGCCAGGATCGGATCAGAAGCCGATGGCGGCCGAGTGTGCAGTCCGGGCCATGCTGTATGCCCGGGCAGTTCGGAGCCTCAAGAAGAGGCTCCTCCCGGGTCGGCGGCGGGGGCTGCTTCGAGCTCAAGGACTCCGGGGCTGGAAGGTGAGGAGAGCAACCACCGGGACCCAGACCCTCCTCTCCTCAGGCACCAGGTTGAAACACCATGGCCGGCAGGCTCCAGGCTTCTTGCAGGGAAAGCTGCCTCAGCCAGATGGAAATGATGCTGCCAAGGATTGTCCACCAGATCCTGCCAGACCCTCTCCTCGGGACCCCAGCCCAGAAGCCTCAGATCCATCCCTGAAGCCAGTAGGCGTGGATGTCTCTGAAGCCCCTCAGACTTCCTCTCCCTGCCCGTCTACTGACAGTGAGTTCTCACTCCTTTCCCCTCCTCTGAGCCCCAGCCCCAACACTGATCAATCTCCAGGGGTCTCTGCTGAGGTGGATGGCTTCAGTGGGCTGGGCTGCACTGGGCTGGGCAGCAGGCAGTAGTGAAAGGAACCTGGCCAGGGTGGTGCTCACGGAGGCACTCTCCTTGCTTTCTTGAGGGACCAGCCCTAGAATCCCACTGCATGTTTCCTCCTGCCCTGAGTGTGGAGCTGACATGAGGTGCTGCCCGGTGATTCTGTTCAAGGTCATCCTGTTGGCCAGCAGGGTGTGCCATCTGCCCATGCTTGGGCCTTTGAGCTCCTTGATCCATTTCTCTATTCTTGCCCATGTATGTTCTGTAAGGCTGCCCTTGTTCTCATTCTGCTTCTTCTTCCCTGCCACGGTCCCTCTGTTTCCCTTCTCAGGGTTATCTGACCCACATTTTCTTCTGTTTCTCCCAGCCGTTAACTTCTCCTTCCACAACAGGCCTACCCCCTGTCCTGTGCTTTCCATTCAGCACTAAGTGGGAATGTAGAGGGAAAGAATCTACCCAACAGCTTCATTCTCTAGCGGTTGCTATGTAATGAGCCACTCCAAACTGTGGCTTCAAAGAGGAGGCATCCAGTGTTGCTCCGAGTCAGCTGGGCTGGGCCTGCAAATGCATTTGCAGGCAGAGAGTAGTTGCCTTGGACTGCCAGCTGAGGTGATGGGGATGACTGAGCTACATGCCCGTCACCCTCTAGCAGCCAGATTGTGTTTGTTCACCTGACAGTCAGGATTCAGCATCCTGGAGAGGCAGTGGGGTGCTTGAGGCCTCTGAAGCCCAGTCTCCACATTTCTGTCCCATTCTCAGCCAGCAAGAGTCCCCAGGCCAGCCCCAGTTCAAGGAGAGAAAAGAGAGTTCACCTCTCCTGGACAGAGCTGCACAGTCACGTGGCAAAGGGCAAGGCTGCAATGAGGGGCCATCTTTGTAGTCAGTCTCCACAGCCCCATAATGTTCACATGGGAATTGACAGCTCAGAACTGATCCATGACAATTACTTTGTTTTGTAGTTGATGTGAAAACAATGGAGACTGCAGAGAAACTTGCTAAATTTGTTGCTCAGGTGGGACCAGAGATTGAACAATTCAGCATAGAAAACAGCACCGATAACCCTGACCTGTGGTACGTACCCATCATGCCCCTTTGACTTGAGTGTGTTCACCCCATGAGTGTCCTGAGAGCCCACAGGACAGCCTGGCAGATGCACTCCTGCCCCACAGATCAGCCCAGGATAAATCATGACTTCACTTCCACTGAGCTCAGGGCTGTTAGGGAGAAGCATCTGTTTGGGTTATTGGGAGATCGGCCCTCATCTGGGGCATCAGGGAAGCCTCCCTGGAGGGGAGCTGGAGCTAGATCCAAAGACTCAATGGATGTTTGCCAGGGCAAGGGGGAGAGAACACCTCAGCAGAGGGACTAGTATGTTCCCTAGAACCTGTGTGGAGGCAAAGAGGAGGGTGTGTCCTTGCCTGTGAGTCTGAGGAGGAGGGTGGACACTGTCCCTGGTCTTGCTGGCAGCTCTGGGCAGGATGAGAATGTGCTGCTCATGTACTATAATGGATGGGTCCTGGTCTGGGTGTGAGCAACAAGCATCTCCACGCATGGGGGCCTGGCACCCTTATGCCAAGAGGGGGCACCATTGTCCTTTCCATTCCTCAGATAGGGTGGCTGTTCAATGCTACGCAGCCCAAAGGTGACAGAACCAGGGCTGGAGCCCACTCTGCCTGTGGGGTGCAGGTTCTCCTTCAGGGGAAGGCCCCCTAGGGCCATGTGTTTCTGGTACTGAGCCATAACCCTGCTGGGCTCCCCGTGAAGTGAGTGGGGTTCCCGTGCTCTGTGGATTGTATCCTATAGCTGGCTAGGGAATCTGGACCCTTGCCCTGCTCCAACATGCTAGACACTTGTGCCTTAGTTTAATTAAGAATACAGATAAAAATTTTACATTTCCTGGAGCATTTCTGGGGCCCAGCGGTAACTAAGCGTGCAGTTCTAGCTTGTTTGGGACCTTGAGTGAGTCATACACTGGGGTTGCCTCCTTCCTGTGGGACTCAGACCAGCTACATGGAGCACTGATGGCCTTGCTGGACTTCAGCCTGCTTCTGCCTTTTACAGACCTGGGGGCTGCTGGGCCTTATAGACCTCAAAGTTGGGCTGCCCACGTATGAGGGACCTTACACTGGCAGGACCAGGCGAAGGGGACAGCTCAGTGAAGGGCAACCAGGAGCATTTTATCAGTTCTCTTTTTTTCCCTAGTGAAAACTACAGTTTGAAAGAGAACTCTGCATTATCCTGGGCACTTGACACTGCCAGGGATTGGGGTTATTCCTTTCCCTCTGACAGCCTTTTCTGAGCAGTGTTCCTCATATAGCACTTTCTCCTCCTTTCCCACATGGAGACCCCAGGAAACTACAGTAGCATCAGATGAGGTGATTTACTCTGTCCCCCAGTGCTCGTAGAATAGTTTGAAGAAGACTTCACCGAACAGCACACCTGTTTAGTAAAGGCCAAATGACTTTGTGTTTTCTTTTCCTTTAGAAAATTTTTATTTCTAAGGTGCTCCTTAGCTGCTTGAGTTAATTCATTTTGTGTTTGTGGTTGTCATCAATTTGATACACACTCAGGTTCCTTTGTTTCTGCTGAAATCAGTTTGGGTGCTTTTTTTTCACATCCTTTTAAACAAGTAAATAAGTACAGCATTTGTGTGGCTCTAAAGTAAAAATTAGAAGAGGTAAGTTCAGAGAAGTCTCATGCCCTCTACCTATCAATGGGATACCATTTTCATTCATTTCTCTCTGTGTGTGTGTGTGTGTGTGTGTGTGTATGTATGTTCCCTCATAGCTCTTACACCAATAAGTAGTCGTCTATATGTAATAGACTCTTGCATCTTGCTTTTTTCCCTTTACAGCATATCTAGAAGTTCCCCTCTGCCTGTCCCACCTATACCCTCATCTCTGTTCCATTGTGTCATCCTCCACATGCAGCCACACCTGTTCCCAGTGTGCTAGAGAGGCATGCCTTAGTTTAAGATAGATTTTTTTTTTAAAGTTTTTCTGTATAGCACAGGGAACTATGTTCAATTTCTTGTAATAACCTTTAATGAAAAAGGAATACGAAAACAAATATATGTGTGTATCTG